CTTATTTCTTTTTCAGCAATCTCTTTGCTGGTGTAGAGGAATCCAACTGATTTTTGGATGTTGATCTTACATCCTGCGACTTTGCTAAATCCCTCAATTAGTTCCAGTAGGTTTTTGACTGAATCTCTTGGGTTTTCTAGGTATAGGATCATATCATCAGCAAATTTGGGCCCTTTTCTTGCACTCTTATAAGGCTAGATAAGAACCATATGTACCTGTTCTGGCTTATCTGCAAATTCAATTTAAAGACACACTTAGAAATGGGTCTCATTTATAACATGTGGACTACCTATAGTTTGTACACTTTGAAAAAAATAGAGTAAAACTTTATAAAGATTGTGTTAATGTCTTGGCTTTACTTACCATAGGATTATGAACACTGGAATGACCATTTATGAAGATACTAAATTTGAGTCACAAACATAGCTATAGTTATGGATGCTCTGAAAGCAGACTATTTCTTGCCTTTTACCAATAGTATTCTATAGATGCATCATAAGGAATTATTAAATATTGAGGATTTTTTAAAATTTTTTATTGTATTAACTAGTATCCTCTCTTATTCCAGAAAGAACCTAGGTGGCTAATAATAATATATAAATTTTAAATGGAATTAAAAAATTTAAGAATAAAAGGAACTAAGAATGGAGAATAATGGAGCCAGGAATGAAACTAAATAATCACTCGATGATGCTTATACATATGCTACTAATCTGCTGCAAATTTGACTCAAAGCATTCTATGCATCCAGTTTTGAAATGGAAAATCTAATTAGTTTACAGTATCTAAAAGGAAATTACAAGGAGCTCTGGTGGCACAGTGGTCAAAGCACTTGGCTGCTAACCAAAAGGTTGGCAGTTCAAACCCACCAGCTGCTGCATGGGAGAAAAGATTGAGGCAGTCTGCTTCCATAAAGATTTACAGCCATGGAAACCATATAGAGCAGTTCTACTCTGTCCTATAGGGTCGCTGTGAGTTGAAATTGACTCAATGGCAGTGGAAGAAAAGGAAATAACCAGCTTGCTCAGGACAACCTTACAGTATTAGACATACTGCTTTATTGCTGATTAAAACCTTTTTTTTAAGGTGCTTCAGACTTTGTAAGGCTAAATTGAATCTCTAATATACATGAAAACATTTAAAGTTATTCTTAAGAGATTCAACATTAAGATACTTTTCCATTGACTACTTTAGTAAAGGTATAGATGGTTTCCTATATCCACTTGTGAATGTCTTCTAGAAAGTGAAACCTTTTCCTAATAGATGACTTTTACCTATACAGATAAAGTATAATAAATGCAGTCTGTGAGCCAACAACTTTTTTAATCTGATGCCTTTTTAGAGCTTTTGCAAAATAACTCAACCTCAAAATCTATATCTTATGATGTGTTTTAAACTAACAAATTTCATTTTTGTTTATTAATAAATGAAACTATAAGCTGATATTCATTGTTTTCCCTGTCTATTCTGCTGTCTTCAGTTAGTCAGTCATTCTTTTTCATACAGTCATAACAATTGGTGTTATTTTTAGAATATTTAGATTGTTATCATAGTAATACCTTAAAAAAAAAAAACCCTCTACTTGACCACCGTAGTAGAAAGAAAAGCAATGATCTGCCAGACATGTTCTGTGGAGTTAATTCTGTCCTTGGAAAAATTGATTTTGCTGAAATTGAGGGAGAATGGAACATTTCTTTATGTCAACTATGCCCTATTACCATTGTACATTTGGTTATTTTGTTTTCAAAGTACTGTGTTTTTCATGTATGTTTGTTTTCTGTTTAGCCTCGTCGTGGCCGTAGCATGTCGGTTTGTGTTCCCCATCTTTCTGCTGTTCCCACTTTGTCCCGCATCTCTCCCAGTGCTCCTTCTACCCCACCACCAGTGCTGTCTGCACCTCTTTCTCCTTCCCTCCTTCGGACTGCCCCTGAGGAAACCTTTGCCGAAAAGCTTTCTAAAGCATTGGAGAGTGTCCTGCCTATGCACTCTGCCTCTCTGCGCAAGCACCGACGCTCCAGCCTGCCTTCCCTCTTTGTCAGTACTGTATGTAACCATAAACTTCCTGACAAATGAAAAATTATTACCAATGAATACATCCAGGCACCAAGAATTTTAATAGAAGTTTAGTAAAGAACAGGACTAAACTTGCTTGTATATTATATTTTTAGGATACAAGTTCTTCCTGTATGAAAGGTGTAAGAACCTTTTATGTAATAAGGCTTTGAGGGGGGAAAGTAAGGAGGTAATGAGAGAATGCTTATAATGCCCTTCATACATGTCATTGTGTGCCCAGTAAAACATTAACTTTTATTATAATCTCCCACCCCCTAGCAACATATATATCTTTGTATTTTCATAATTTAGTACAAAAATGTATATTACTTAATTTTAAATTCATTGCTGGCTTGATCAGAACCAAATTTTTTCTTTATTAAACATGCCCAAACATGTTTTCTCCTCACTTTATTCTAAAGATACATTAATGAAGCTGGATAAATTAATTTTATTTCCCATAGTCAATGAAGAGTAATTGAGGAATGAAAATTTATTTTAATTTGCTGACTGCTTCAAGTGATGTGTCAGCAAGCTAAAAGACCACATAATGTTCCTCATGGAAATATTTTTTTCTCAGATTGAATAGAGTTGGTCCTGGACTCTAATGAAATGGGCCTCCATCACACACATAGTTTATTACTTTCTTTGCCTCATCCATATCCATGAAAGATAAATCTTTTAAAATTGTTTTAAGCACTGTGGGACCTTGCTGCTGCTTTTCTAGATAGAAAATGTAGTTAAGATTCTGATCTAGCAACCACCAAATCTTCCAATTTTTATTTAAGAAAAAGACAATGTTTTATGGCTTTGGAATAAACAACCATAAAATAAGAGTGTTTCTGATTCTGTAGTTATAGAAATCTTTTTTTAGTTGTTGTGAAGAAGTAACATTTGAACCACTTTGTTAACTTTGATAGTGGTCTTACCTATTGAAAAAAACTGACATACTCTTTTTAAAAAGGAGTCCATGAAAGTGAATAACTGTTATAGTGTGCATTGTTGCATTTGGCAAGCAAAGATTCTAAAGTTACAGTCTTAACTCTAGAACTGCTTCTGTGAACAAAAAGTGCTGTTAGATCAAGCAGGCTGTTATTTATGTTTTTTTAACCCAATTTGGACACTAAATATCAAAATCAGAATATTCATTTATCTAGGATTAGAAAAATGTGCGTTTGGTGATTTGGCACGTATAACACATTTCACGTAGTCGAACTATGAACTGTATCTAGTTTGGGATAGACACGAGGAGACTAATCAGAAAACATACTTCTATTTGAGGAGATGGAGCTCTGATGGCGTAGTGCCTAAGGCATTTGACTGCTAACCAGAAGGCTAGGGGTTCAAACCCACCAGCCACTCCCTCGGAAGGAAGGTTGGGCAATCCACTTCTGTAGTGATACCACCTCAGAAACCCAAGGAGGGGTTGCTATGAGTCGGATCCAACTCAGTGGCAGTGAGTTTAGTTGAGTGAGTTGATGAGAAAATAACACTGAAGCCTCTAATACAGCACAGAAAAAATAAGTATAGAATATAGGAAGACTCAATACAGTAGCTTAAAGTGAAGAACATTTCTTACATTATAAAAAAATATTTGGGCTTATTGCCATCCTGTAACTCTTAGGTCTTTTTCCACTGATACAATTTTCATTGTCAAAAGAGTAAGCATATTGGTTGTGAATAAAAACAGAATATTCACTTAGAAAGTTTATTTCATATCCTTTTGAAAAGAAAGTTAAGTTGTAGGAAAAAGCAGCTCTTATCTAATACAAAGAGTTCCACAGATTAACATTGGCCCTGGATGTATTTAATGGATTTTTACTATGCACATAATTTACAGAAGTACTTTTATTTCTTTATTAGTTATAAATTTAGTGTAACCATTTCATAGGGTTACACAGAGCTAACCAGTTGTGCATGTCTAATGTAATTTTACATATGAATGTATGAATTACTTGTCTTGTTCATGTTGATACAGCCTCAGTCCATGGTGCATCCGTGTGGGGGGACCCCAACATACCCAGAATCACAGATATTTTTCCCAACTATTCATGAACGTCCAGTTTCCTTTTCACCACCTCCTACCTGTCCACCGAAGGTAGCCATTTCCCAGCGGCGTAAGAGCACGTCCTTCCTGGAAGCCCAAACTCGCCACTTCCAACCCCTGCTGAGGACTGTTGGCCAAAATCTTCTTCCACCTGGTGGCACCCCAACTAACTGGACACCAGAGACCGTAGTTATGTTGGGTACAACGGCCAATAGAATAACTGGAGAGCCGTGTGAGATACAGGTCCATCCTATGTTTGAACCAACTCAAGTTTATGGTGACTATAGATCTACACTAGTACCTCCAGAAGATGCTCACTATTTTATTCCTCAGGAAGCAATGTATCTAGCTGGGGTACATTACCAGGCCCAGGTGGCAGAACGGTATGATGGCATTGCATACAACTCACCAGTATTGTCAAGTCCTATGAAGCAGATACCTGAACAGAAGGCAGTACAAAGTGGTCCTCCTTCAAGTTCTATCTTTGAATTTCCATCTGGACAGGCTTTCCTGGTAGGACACCTTCAGAATTTAAGATTAGATTCTGGAGTGAGTCCAGGATCTCCCCTCTCTAGTATTTCTGCACCTACCAGTACAGATGCTACACTTTTGAAATTTCATCCTGTCTTTGTTCCTCATTCTGCGCCTGCTGTGTTAACTCATAACAATGAGGGTAGAAGCAATTGTGTATTTGAATTTCATGTTCACACATCAAGCTCCTCTTCAGGAGAAGGAGGTGGAGTTGTACCTCAGCATGTTTACCGAAATCGGCAGGTTACAGTGGACTTGAATCAGGAAGAACCACCTCCTCAATCCATTGGATTACATGGTCGCCTGCAGCCTGTGACTGAAGAGCAGTATAATTACCATGCCCCACAATTGACCATTTCTATGGTAGAGCCTATCGGACAGAACTGGCCAATAGGAAGCCCCGAATATTCCAGTGATTCTTCACAGATTACTTCTTCAGACCCCAGTGATTTTCAATCACCTCCCCCTACAGGGGGAACAGCTGCATCTTTTGGCTCTGACGTCTCATTGCCCTTTATCCATCTGCCTCAGACAATGTTACAAGAATCCCCACTTTTCTTCTGTTTCCCCCAAGGAACCACATCTCAGCAGGTCTTAGCTGCTTCATTTCCTACAGGAGGATCTGCACTCCATCCACAGGTTATAGGAAAACTTCCACAATTCTTTTAAACTACCCTGTTATACACCACTACATTTAAGTTTTCTATCCTTCCTTTTCCTGAGTCATGGATTATGGGGGAATATTGTTTAATTTTATCAGAGAGTTCCCATCTTTTGGGGGTTATAAACAGCTTGTATTTAAGAACATAACATGAGAGAAAGCTACCTAATTTACTTATGGTATGTGCAGACCCTTGAAATATAAATAACAAAAACTAGAATTTTAGTCACTCATCAAAATCACTTCTTACATGTAAGATGTTTTCAACTGGTTGTAAAAATGCAAAAGTCTATAATGTAAGGTTGACTCAGCATTGATTATTTAGGAATAATAATGTGAAGTATTTATTTCTCCCTAGAAAGAAACACTACTATTTAAAATATATGTATATCTCAAAAGATAAAAGTTGTTTTTTCCCCTCTACATAATGGAAATTAGAAAATACTTTTAGAATACTGTTAAGAATTAATACACAGAATCTTCATTAGTGTAGAGGAATCTTTAAAAAAACAGAGAAAAAAGGAGACAGTTTATGAATTTCCCTTAACAAATGAAGATGCCTTTTAGAATAGGTACCAGTCAGACAAGTCTATGTATTGTTATGTCCAAATAAAATATTAATCCATAAAATTAAGGGCTGATACTAATTTTTTGTTTGTTTGTTTTATTTTGTGTTAAGAATTTGTGTTATATATTGCAAGCTAAGGAATACTAGATATCTGAGGCCTTTTATTTAATTTGTAAACAATTTTAAATATGTATATGAGCACATGTATTCTCTTCCAAATAAAGACAGAATATTCAGAATGGGTTAACAGAATTCAAGAAATGGAGTTAATGTTGACTTTTTCATGTATTCCCTTGATACCTTTTATCCAATGTATGCCTCATAAAATCTGTACAGGGGAATAGCAATTGTATATTCAAAACATTTTTATTTTTAAATAGTCTAATTCTAAAGTACTGTATGTTGTTCTTGTTTTTCCTATGGTTTCCCCACATCAGGAACATAAAACAGCCCCAGAAAATGTATAGTAAATAACAATTAGAGTAGTGCTGAGAAGCAAAAAGATTCAGAAACTTGAAAATTAACTCTGTGGGAATATGAGTATACTCATAATAGTACTCTAGTTGTCATAGCCCCTAATGTAAATTTTAATGCATTATTGGCCATTCTCCTTTAAACTTTTCAGAGAGAATTTTCAAATATCAAATAGAATGTTTAATTTATAGACATAATTACAAAATGAACGAAATATATATTTACAGCAGTTAAGCTGAAATGGAATGTGATACTATACACAAGTAAGCTTTGTAGAACTCCCTTCTAAACTGAAGTGGACCTTTTAATTTCCTTAACCTGCCTATTAGAGTAGTGCTGCATTCATTTCTCATTTTCTCATTAAGATTTATTGTTTTTATTTAAATTTAAACTTCTTGATGATTGAGATACTCTAGGTCAGGGTTTTTCAGCCTCAACACTAATGACATTTTGTGCTGGCTACTTTGTGGTGGGGAGCTGTTCTGCACTGTAGAATGTTTAGCAGCATCCTTGGCCTCTACCCACTAGATGGCAGTAGCACCCCTCCCCCATTTGTGACCACCAAAAATCTCTCTCAATGTTGTCAGATATCCCCTGGGAAGGGGAAAAGAATTGTTCTGGGTTGAGAATCATTGCTTTGGGTAATTAGCAGTTGATGATGATACCAGATTTTCTTATATTTCTGATAAAAGTCAACATGACATTACAAGAAGTAGTGAAAGCTACCAGATTAGCATTGATTTTATCAAATACCTTTTTAAAAAATGATACAAAAGTTTTCCACAATGATAGTCTTCTTTTTTTCCTGATTATTATATTTCTAATAACAATTTAATTATATTCTTACTATTATATAACCAGTTAAACTTATAGCCTGAGCGGCAGCAGTAAATTAGATTTTTAACTCACTGTGTTTTTTTCTGAGATCAGAATAATTCTCTAAATTTTTCTTAAGATGCCCCAGAGATCTTCCTATATATACTTAAATCTAGCTAATGTTTCATTTTGTTAATATAAGCTCTTAATTATTTATTGCAAAAGCCTGTTTTCTATACAGTTATCTTCTGTGCATTTCTTTGATTTGTTATGTCCACCTGTTTGCTTCAGGCACAGGGGCAGAGCCAAGGTCAGCCAGCCTCAAGTAGCTTAACAGGGATTCCATCTTCCCAGCCCATGCAGCATCCTCAGCAGGTGAGAACACCTTGTTGTTAAATTTTATTTATTAATAGTGGCTAAAGCACTGTTTTATATCTTTCATGAATTAGATTCCTGATGTGAATGGCTTACTAAGTTTTTGAAAGGAAAATAAAAAGGCATAATATTTCTTGTGTTCAGTAACATTTTAGAAAAACCTCTTTTTGTTGTATCTTTTAAACATCTGATAAATTAGACATACATTCACATTTAGTGAATTATTGTCACTGATATGCCTGCTTAGATGATTCTAAACAATATAAAAATACAAAAACTATTCATTTTATTTCTAATTATGTTTATGACTTGTACTTTTACAGGCATTTTGTCATTCTTTCATTGTGCTTGCCTCTAATAACCCTATAGCCCTCCTTTTTAATTCCAATCTGCTATAGAATGAGCGATCAGATTTTATGCTAAGAGGCACTGAATGAGAAGCTCTGGTAGCATAGTGGCTAAAGCACTTGACTGCTAACCAGAAGGCTGGCGGTTCAAACCC